ATTATCTCCCTTGGATTTCGAGAAATCGGCAAAAAAATGGCGTCGAAAAAAATGCACTCCCCCCAATTTACCACTTATCTTTCTCCTCCATCAATTTCCACTATTATCTAATTATAATATACTATATTTAATGAAATTCAGATATGTAAATGTATTTTTCACCGTGTGCTGTGTTGCCACCATTGAGAACATATGTTGCATGGGGATTATTCGTGAATACTGCAAACAAATTATCCAAGTCGAGTACTTTATGAAACTTGATGTTACCAAGCACCATGTGAATTTCCTCAATAATCGTCAATTCCTCGAGGTCTTGGCACATGGCTCTACATGGCTCCCCCGACCTGGGGCATTTCTTCGAGGTGTACAGATCCTTCGATGACAAAAAATCTCTCAATTTATATTAATCCCATTATTACTTAAACAAATACAATTGATTACCTCAATGTCCTGGACACTCTGGAGCATCGAAGTCTCGGCATCGCTGGCTAGACTCTTGAAAGCCTCCAGGATGGGACGATACCCAGTGCAACGACAAATATTGCTACCAAAGGAATTCTCGATCTCCTTCATTGTGTTCTTCTTACCCTGGATTAAACTGCATGCGCATGTATTTATTTGTAAATAGTTTTTTAACTGATGAGACATACCTGTACATGTTCATGACCATTCCAGCAGAGCAATAGCCGCACTGAGAGCCGTTCATTCCAGCGAGGGTCGACTGAATCTTGTGGTACCCCATCTTCTTATTCCCTATCCCCTCGACAGTCTTGATTCTCCAACTAATTGGTGATAAAAAAGATATCCAGGAATCGTTGATCGATTGATTGAATTATTGATCAGTCTGGGAATTCTTACCCATTGCAAATGAGAACGGGAACGAGGCAGGAATTAACGGCTAGAGTTTCTCCGTGAATTTCGGCAGCCACAATGCAAGCCCCACAGCCACCCTCGTGGCACATTGCCTTTGTACCCCGGAGAAGAGCATTATCCCTTATGAATACGTTGAGAGACGTCGCCGGGTGGATGTCCTCATTGACTATCAATAATTGATTATAAATAATTAAAAATGAATAATTAATTATGAATTGATTATGATTATAAATATGAATTAATAGAATTAATTAAAAGACAAATATAAATCTGTATAAATGTACTCCATGTCTAGCGCGTTATCCGAGAGAGGAAAAATTATTAAAAATCAAAATCCTAATGAAATTAAAAGTAGATAATTAATATATTTTTTATTAGAAGCAGTTAGTTTCTGCAAAAGCGAAGGGTGAAATAAACATTCATTCATATTGTTGAAAATACAAATTATAGTGTCGGAAAGAGCAGGAATTGCAATTAAATAATCGTCGGGAGAGATAAATAAATAAATAATAATGAAATTAGTGCTGAATATATTTGGGAGAAGAAATTGTTTTCTCAGTGCGCAAACATGATTTGCAAAAATCGAGTTAACCAACTGATGGAAAATGGTCAATTAGACCTTTGTTTGATAATCAGTGGTTTTGCCACGGCTTTCGTAATTGCCGGTGGTTACTTGTTGCAAGTTTACTTGATATCTTGTTAACGTGGAGAATCTCTACAATTTTCCATTTTTAGACGCATAAAGAGAAGTTATTGTCGCGGCCTTCTTGTGATTATCTAACATTGTATAGTTTAAGGAGTCACATACTCGCACAATTTATAACAGATTAGAAAAAAAAAATAGATAATTAATTGGAAAATATATTTAGATATTCTTCGAGTACTCACTGGTGTGGAGAACTCCGTTAATCGTAAATTGCACGGTATTTTTGGGTGTTCCACTGAGAAAATAGATAATATAATTTTTTTTATTCTTAGGGGACTTGATTGATTTAATTTTATAGAAGAAAATGATTGAGAAGGTCTCACCCCACGTATGTGTATGAATTTTCACTCATCCTCACTGAATCCTCTGAGTTGAAAATGTCTTTTATTTTTTTACACTATTAAAACATCAAAAAAACTCATAACGAAATATAATAAAATCTAAAAACTGCTTGATCTGCTTTATTTAAAAAATTCTATTAAATCTCCAGTGAAACTTCA